AACCAGGATATTTAAGCAGCTAGAAACTGATTCCTCCTGTTCTAAAGAAGTCCACAATGATTGGCGGAAGAAACGCGCCAATGTAATGACGTCAGCAGCGGTCCACGATGTCTGCACGTCGGACATGTGAGACTAATCTCATGATGCAAGGGCTGCACAAACCATTCCCAGAGGCCCAAGAGAGTTCCCCATATTGTGTTATACGACACATCATATTGTTCAGAGGCATGGGCATTAACTAACCATGGAAATGGATGGAAACGCTTAACAAACGGCTTAAAGAGCATTTGTATAAGGAAAGATCTAAAGAGAGGCTGGATTGTCTGCAACTCTGTGTCCCGGTAGCAATAAATGTGCGAAACACTTATCCATGATCTTATACTATCTCTATCCACATTCTACCAAGGCAATCCCTCAACATATGCGTGGTCTTCCTATCTGCTCAAACGGTCTCCAGTCACTCTATCCATTGTTTATAGGACTTTACGGATTGCAATAATAGCTCTTTTCTCCACATAAGATGCTCGCTTGGACATATATCCGATTCAGTCCGTATTACAATGTTCTCATGCCCACAATCTGATGGTCATTTATTTTGCTGTCCAAGAATCTGGGACATTCATTTCATAGTGGCCATATTATCTATTCACCTCTCATTGTTTAGTATTACTTATGGCCTAAAACTGTGCACCAACGAACAGAGACTGTTTAACATCAGTAACACCCTAGACTTGTATTTTCTATTACCTGCTCAGGGAACTACTAGCTTTGCCCACTTCTTTCTCCTGTTAGGAACATCAGTGTCCATTATATCTCACTATTATTATTATACAGGATTTATATAGCGCCAACTGTTTGCTCAGCGCTTTACAATATAATGGGAGACAATACAACAACAGTACAATTCAATACAAGAGGGTTAGGAGGGCCCTGCTCCTTGGAGCTTACAATCTAAGACACTAATGTCCATATTGACACTGTATACTTTTTTGCGTACTGCAATCCCGATTGCTTTTTTTTTAATAGTGTTGTAGGTGGTTGTGTACGATATTCACTGTCTGCAGATATCATTCCCTCTTTTTACTGGAAATTCAATAAAATGTGTTTTTACATGTGAGCTACTCTGCTTGGGTGTATTATTACCTACTTTGTTAGCTTGCTTTTTGCAGCTACCGTGTTTGTTTTTCATGTCAATTTTAGGTTTACACCCACACCTTTAATATTTTGGTGAGTCTGAGAGCTTAATATAATGCCACCCCCGCCTGACTTTGGTGGCAATTTTCTATTTATTAGTAAATAAATACCGATGGAGTTGCTCCATAGACAGCAGAGGTAATTCTTCCTAGCTTTGTCTGATTAAACCGGAGCGCTCTGATACAAGATGAGTCAACGCTGTGAAGATTCACTTGGGTTGGTTTACTAAAGGCAAATGGGCTGTTCACTTTGCAAGGGAAGATGTTGTTTGCAAAGGAAATGTTCCCTTTGTTTAGTGAAGCAAACAAAAATACAGTTTTCTTGTATTCCTTGCAGGTAATTGGGTATTCTTTGCAAAGTTATTTTTCACCACATTTGCTAAGTGAAAGGAAAATTCAGTCTCAAAGTGAACAGCCTATTTGTTGCTACCAACCCATCCCCACTGAGTTTGGTAAACAATTTATTTTTTACACCCAGATCTATCTCTCCACTCCCCAGCTCACCCCCACAATCTCTTCACGTATCAGAAATCTACTAAGCGACATATCAGCATGGATGTCACTTCACTACCTTAAACTCAATCTTTCAAAAACTGAGCTTGTAATATTTCCTCCTCCCCGATCCCCCACTCACGACTTCACCATTAAGATCAACAGCACAACCATTGGTCCTTCCCCTCATGCCAGGGTGCTAGGCGTAATCCTAGACTCTGACCTCTCCTTTGGGCCCCACATCCACTCACTGGCTAAATCCTGCTGCCTCAACCTCCGGAACATTTCCAAAATCCGCCCCTTTCTGACCAATGACACCACAAAACAACTCATCCACGCCTTGGTTATATCCCGCCTCGATTACTGCAACTCCCTCCTCACTGGTCTACCGTTACACAGGCTATCCCCCCTTCAGTCTATTATGAATGCTGCTGCTAGACTCATACACCTTACCAACCGATCAGCGACTGCTGCCCCTCTCTTCCAATCCCTCCACTGGTTTTCCACTAACCCAACGTATAAAATTCAAAATACTAACCACAGCTTACAAAGCCATTCACAACACTGCCCCTAGCTACATCACCAACCTCATCCACAGATACCGCCAAAATTGCCCACTCCACTCCCCCTATGATATCCTCCTCTCTAGCTCCCTCATCACCTCCTCCCACGCTCGGCTCCAGGACTTCTCCAGAGCCTCTCCCCTCCTCTGGAACTCCCTATCACAGCATGTCCGGTCAGCCCCCACCCTGTCTGCCTTTAGGCGATCTTTGAAAACTCACTTCTTCAGGGAAGCCTACCCCACCTTCACCTAAGAACTGTACTTGAATCACCTCTGCCAGATCATCCCCCCGCAACTATCACCTTTTGTATCACCTCCCCCTTCCTTTAGATTGTAAGCTCCACAAGCAGGGCCCTCCTATTTCTTCTGTACTGAAATGTATTGTAATTGTACTGTCTCCCTTATATTGTAAAGCGCTGCGCAAACTGTTGGCGCTATATAAATCCTGTATAATATTAATAATAATTTCTCTTAAAATTATTATAGAACCCTGTGTTCAAATTCCCATGAATAAAGCCCAATGCAAATCTTACAATTTTTTGGTTTTTATAGTCCTATGCCCTGCATTTGTGTGCCTTTTTGTCTTTAAATACCCTAAAGGACGTTATGTATACTAGAAAAAAAAAAAAAAAAAAATGCTTGCCTCTCTCCCACTTCAATATTTTCTGCTGGCACAGCTGAGTAACAGACACAGTGTCCTCACTCACTAAGACTTGCAGAGGAAGGGGTGTATCTGAACAGCACTTTTTCTGAGTGTTGATTACTGAGTATTGTAGATCTAACCCTGGTGCCTATTGGGCTACACAGTCATGTTTAGACACCCTGAACAAATACTGTAGCATGAAAGTGAAGGTCATGTTATGTGGTCCTGTTATATATTAATATGCATTTCTAGTGTGCCTCAGAATATTAAGAAAACAACTTGAACCCAGCGTCACAAGTCCAGTAGAACATCAAAAAATGTTTTCCCTGGTCAATCTGACCCATGAATGCCAACAATCCATGTTTACATCTGTAAAAGAGCATGGACAGAATCAGGGGCGGACTGACAAGTCATGGGGCCCCCGGGCAATAGGGGATCATGGGGCCCCTGTGTCCCTGCCCAAACTCAAAAAATCCTATGAAAAAGGTACCAGGGGCATCTCATGGTCATCTCACTCCCTTCTCTCTCCACCCTTCTCTCTCTCACCCCCCTCCCCCTCCAAACCTATCTCTCCCTCTATCCCTCCTCCCTATACAATGACTAATTTGTATTCCAATTAATCATCCATTTTTAAGCTACTCCCACTATTAGGTACAACCTTATTTTCATGGTACGCGGCATGTGCCACTAGTTCTTTTTGTTATCCCAGGATTCCCCAGGTAATCCAACACACAATATCTCACAATTGTCATAATGTTTTGACTTTTTCATTGTAAAACCAGGCAGGGTACTTGCTCTGGGTATTGTTAATGTTTAAATATTGTTTATGTTGTTAGAATATCACTACTTTAACTGCTTCCTATCTGTCCTATAGCAGAAATACTGCTACAGGGTGGCTCGGGTGCGCAAAATCACATGATTTTGCATTTCTGGGTAGGGTGCGCGTGCGAGCCCTACCCGCGCTGCCATTCGCGGCCGCTGCTGTCAATCACCGGGTCCCAGCCGGTGATTACTTGCAGGCGCCGGTGATTATCGATGATCTCCGATGGGGGGGGGGGCTGATTTGTTTACTGACAGTTCTCCTCCCTGTAAACTCGGGCACAGCCATCCAAAGCAGTGTGCGCACAGTGAAGCACAATGACATGGCCCCCTATGTAAAACACTCCCAGCACGCAGTTAACCCTTTGATCACCCCTCATGTTAACCCCTTTCTGCCCAGTGCCATTAGTAGAGTGTCAGTGATTTTTTTTAGCACTGATCACTGTATTGGTGTCACTGGGGATGTCAGTGACACCAAGTCAGTTTCCCCCAGTGTTAGAATGTCTGCCGCAGTCCTGTTATAAGTCGCTGATCACTGCCATTGCTAATAAAAATGTTAAAAAAAATTCCAGTATCTATACCGCCATTTGTAAACGCTAAAACTTTCACATAAACCAATTAATTTACACGTATTGGGATTTTTTTTAGCAAAGACATGTTGCAGAATACATTTTGGCCTAAATTTATGACGAAATTAGATTTTTTAAATTTTTTTAGTGGACATGTTTAATAGCAAAAAGTCAAACATATTGTTTTTTTTTTCTCAAAATTGTCAGTCTTTTGTTTTTATAGTGCAAAAATAAAAATCACACAGGGGATCAAATACCACCAAAAGAAAGCTCAATTTGTGGGAAAAAAATTTTAATTTGGGTGCAGCGTTGCATGACCACGCAATTGTCTGTTAAAATAACGCAGCGCTGTAACGCAAAAAATGGCTTGGTCAGGAAGGGGAGTAAATCCTCAGGAGGGCAAGTGGTTAATGTCTGTTAGGACTTTCTGTCATGTTACGGGTTGTTATTAACAAATGTGCTCTGTCATTGAATCTTTCATGTTTTCTCAGTAAAAAAAAAAGTCATGGGGGTTAGTACCCTGGCTGGAATTGCATTTCTCTTGGCTGCTGTTTGCAAAAATATCAACAGTTAAGAAAAAGTTGTGGTTTTTTTTAGGTGAGAATTGTGACATAGCACAATACAAGTAGAGACTTTTTTGATACAAGGTCTGCTTTAATGGTACTTTTTTTCTGTAATCTTGTAGTTGATAAAATATACTAATAGCAATATCCTTTTCTTTTAGAAACTTTTACCAAAAAATCAAGGACCATGACCTTCTGGACAAAAGGAAAACTGTGACAGCACTGAAAGCGGGAGAAGACAGAGCAATCCTCCTGGGGCTTGCAATGATGGTCTGTTCCATTATGATGTATTTTCTCCTAGGAATAACACTACTTCGTTCATACATGCAGAGGTAATTTGGTCTCTGTCACCTCCAATTTGAATATATATGGCCTAATTGCCTTTACTGGGTTATTTCTTTTATCTCCAAGTACATTCCCAATCTGCTTAAAAACATTCATATGCAGTAGAAGATTTGCAGCGGTTTAGTGCCAAACTGATAAGGGCAGAAATTGGGAGCTTTATATTCCAAACACATTTCCATTCTACTGCTTTGTAGCTAGGTACAGAAACATTCAAAAATTACAGCAGATGTCTCTGGGAAATAAAAGTGCACTGGTTTTAACAGTGGGTGGAATTCATCAAAGAATTCAGAAGCATAAGGAAAGAGACACAGATCAGGTTTAATATAGGATTCAGCATTTCATTGGTTCAGGGGACTTGTAAAGCTTACTTTACAAATTGCTTGCGGTGATTGTAGACCCGTATTTCTATACTACAGCAATACTTAATGCAATACATGGTATGATTTGTTCAATTAATTGTGTTGGCTTGGTTTTTAGACTTTCTGGACTCATGCATATATAGACACATACAAACACCCACTAGCTTTTATTTGTTAGTCTTAAATGTTTAATAAAGCTCTGCATAGTAAGGAGAATTATGATGATTAGCAAAAAGCCGGCTTGCATGTATGTTTACCTTTCGGCAGTTTAGTTGCTATGGGTTTCTGTATAAAATACATTTCTCTTTGCCACATTAAAAGTATCTAAAATATTTTGGGGGGGAGGTGGGTTTTGGGGATAAAATAGTAGTTAGTAGTGTTCTACTGGAGAAACTTCCCTCCATTTCCTCTCCTGGAGAGGAAATTAAATTAAACTGGTCTGAAGTGAGGGCCTACTGTACCTGTGCAGTAACTCTTTATAGACATAAAAGGTAAGTATGTAGTAAGGGGAGGAGGTGAAGTTCTTGTTAAATTAGATTTGGGGGTTAGGGAGGGCTTTCAATTCAATAACTGGGCCTAGTGAGACTAAACTAAACTGTGTAAAATAGTTTTCAGCATTTTTCTGAGTCTATTTAAGTTTGTTTTTTTTCCTCAAATTTCTAAGACAGCTGGTTGCCCTCCAGCTGTTCCCAAACTACAAGTCCCATGAGGCATTGCAAGATTGACAGTTACAAGCATGGCTCCCAAAGGCAGAGGCAGTTTCGCAGCAGCTGGAGGGCCGCCAGTTTGACACCCCTGTTCTAAGACATCTATACAACTATATTGGTTATGCCTTTTGTTCTTGCACATTTTCTTCCTATGATATACAGTATAATAGTGATGTCCAAGTTGGCTATCAAGGGCTACAATCCTTCTATCATTTAATAAACTCTATCCACCTATAATTAAGTTTGTAAGTTTAGTCTCACTAGGCTCAGTTATTGAATCTGACACTTAAAGCGGTATTAACTGCTTTTTTTTTCCGCCACCCTGTAGCAGAAATACTGCTACAGGGTGGCAGGGGTGCGCAAAATCACGTGTATATATACGTGATTTTACATTTCCAGGTAAGGGGCGCACGCGAGACGCGAGCGTGGCCTACCTGTGCCGCCATTGGCGGCCTCGGCTGTCAATCACTGGGTCCCAGTCAGTGAATCCCACTGCCACCCGGTGATCACCGAGTATCACAGACGGGGGAGAGACCTGTATGTAAACAATACAGATCTCTCCCCTGTCAGCTCCTGCACACTGCTTTGTAGGGCTCTGCATAGCAGTGTGCTTACAGTGAAACACACAGTGAAACAGCACACAGATAAACCTTTTGATCGCCCCAGATGTTAACCCATTCCTGCCCAGTGTCATTAGTACAGTGTCAGTATTTGTTATTAGAACTGATCACTGTATTGGTGTCACTGGGGATCAGTGACAGTTAGTCAATTCCTCCCAGTGTCAGAATGCCAGCTATAAGTCGCTGATCGCCACCATTACTAGTATAAAAAAATATATATATATATTTTCCAGTATGTATACTGCCATTGTAGATGCTATAACTTTCACGTAAACCAATTCATTTACACTTATTAGGATTTTTTTTTAGCAAAGACATTTTGGCCTAAATTCCTGCCGAAATTTGACTTTTTACATTTTTTAACTGGACATGTTTAATAGCAAAAAGTCAAATATATTTTTTTTTCTCAAAACTGTCGGTGTTTTTTTAATTTAAAAAAAAAACGCAGCGGTGATCAAATACCACCAAAAGAAAACTCTATTTGTGGGAAAAAGGACATAAATTTAATTTAATCAGTTAAAGTAGCACAGCGCCGTATCACAAAAAAATGACCTGGACAGGGAGTGGGGTAAATCCTTTGGAGGACAAGTGGTTAAAGGCAATTTTGTAAAAAAAAAAAACATGTATACTTACCTGCTCTGTGCAGTGGTTTTGCACAGAGCAGCCCCAATCCTCCTTTTCTCAGGTCCTCCACCAGCACTCCTGGCCCCTCCCTTCTGCCAAGTGCCCTGAGAGCAAGTAGCTTGCTATGGGGGCACCCAGGCAGGCTCACTCCAGAGCCACTGCTCTGCGTATCTAGTCTGGCTTGGCCCCACCCCCTCTCTCTCCACATTGGCTCACTGCCTGTGATTGACAGCAGCGGGAGCCAATGGCTTCCACTGTTGTTTCAGCCAGTGAAGAGGTAGAGTCCCTGAAGAGCCAAGGCTCTCATGTACATCGCTGGATCGCGATGGGGCTCAGGTAAGTATAAAGGTGGGCAGGGGGGGCTGCTGCACAGAGAAGGTTTTATACCTTCATGCATAGAATGCATGAAGGTAAAAAATAACCTTGAGCCTTTGCAACCACTTTAATCCTGGCTTGTACATGCTTATCAAACACTGGAATTTGTTTGTGCAATGTATGCGCATGGTGTCTGAAAACTATAGGGAAAGGGGAAAAAAAGCAAAGTTCTTACAATGGTACAATATACTGTTTCTGAATGTCTCTTTACTTTTACCCAACCATCCCAAAATTTGTTTCCCATTGGTCTGTCGCATGTCATACTAGCGTTTTATGCCTTACAGTAATCAGCAGGGAAATTAAAACTCTACAGATAGGAAGTAAAAATGAAACTGAGTCTCTGTGTCTCCCCATAAAGACCTGAGATTTTTTTATACCAGGACTCTTTCTTCAACTTTGATGGCCATCAGCAGCTGTTCAGCAGAGTGTGACAGAAGGTCTGCGCATTACTAGTCAGAAATACGTACAACTGAACTGTTGGCCCACTACCCTGTACATCTACTTCACATCTACATAACATTCAGCTCCACTGGATATGAGTAAAGGGCTCAAATGAGGTCCCTAGTTTATGTGCTGCTGAGGAAGGGGATGGAGAGGGTCAGTTTGCAGTAAAGCCTTCAGACTCAGCCCTCTGTGCTCCTATTAGTACCCAGCTTTTTCCTTCTATTTATTTAGTTCCTGCTTCCGTAACATTTTATCTGAGTGTAAATATACTGTACCTGTAGCTGGAAAAAAGACAGAAGGGATAACATTGATAAACTGAACAGCTAGGCAAACAAAAAAAAAAGAGTAAAATACTGCAAGCTTTCCAAATAGGAAAACCCTTCTGATTTTTAACAAACTGGGGCTAGTGCTATAATAAAACAGCAACAGTAAAGCTTGTATACACAGGTGCTGGATGCATCCATTCTTTGCATACAAACTACCTCTTTTTATTATTTCCAATGAACATTTATCAAGCAAATTAGTGACACGATAAGGGTCTCGAAGGAAAATAAATGTTTAACACCTATAGCATAAGACACATTTCAGAAGCATTTTAAACACATATTGGTCATGTGGAGAGGTGTTACCTGAAACTTTCCAGATTCCTTTTATTTGTTTAAAGAAAAACTATTTGAGGAGGTTATGCACATGAAGTGACTTGCTTTGGCATGTGGTTAGTTTTACGGTGTTTAATATGGCAGTTTTGGGTAATTCCTGTGATATTTTTGGCTATATTTTGTTTCTTATAGATCAAACTGTCTTTTTTTAAGCAATATCATTGATTCCTACACTGTCATATGTCTGATTCCTGGCTTGATCCAGCTGAAGATGATTATGGACTAGACAACTCAGTAGTCTCTGTGAAGTTTACCAAAGGGCGCTTTCATTCTCTAAACAAAGAGTTGCATAGTTATCACCAGATGGTCTATGATTATGCCTGCATTAGAGTGCTAGGTTTTGATGAGGTTTGCTCCTTCAAAATATTTAATAAACACCATAATACATTCATACAATGTCAGATATTTCCCATGCAATTCCAGGTGATATCAGGCTCCTCAATCACATCGCAGGTGCTGGCTCAGCCTATCTCTACTGAAGCAATCAATTCTATCAGTAACAAGAATACCACCAGCAGGAACAAGTTCTTTTCTGACATGTTTCACACTGGTCTGTTGCTTACTCAAATAATCTTTGAGAAAGTGCTGTGCCTAGCAGGAAATATGTCAGAATAAAACTTGTTCCTGCTGGCTATTTTAATAAAGGAAGAAAATGACTTTGCATCTCAGTGTGCAGTATCCCTGTTTCTGATACAGTTGATCCATACAGAAGCCTTTTCCTAAACAAGGTCTGAATACGAAGCAGAAGATTTTCAATTATCATCTGACATGGGTTCAGCAATTTGTGAAGTACATTTTTGATATACTAGCCAACAAGGGGAGAATTTTTACAGGAGCTAGTCAAACAACAATGACAATATTGTCAAGCTAGAGGGAGGGGTATAATTTTCAGGACTCCTTTGTCCAAGACCTGGAGGATGTTTCCTGGCCCTCTATATGAGGCACCAGCAAGACTTAAGCTGACCATACACGTATAGAATATTCATAAGAAAATTTTTTTTGCACATTTGATGAACGGACAAATGTCGTTTGAAAATTGTCTTTTGCTTTTAACATTCGATTTTAAAATGAATGTAATTTCTGAATGATATCCACATACACTGGCCGAAAATTTGTTTTCCTTCCTTCCCCTTCAATTTTTTCTGTCACTGCTGTCGAAAACAAACAATGATTGGACCCCACTAATGATTAGAAAATCA